GGATCATGTCTCCCAGAGTCCTTGCATTGTGGAAATCACTTCTGAAGTGCACAGCTGTGCTTCAGTGATGAGACAGCTCAAGCCCCACAGCTTGCTGCATTGGCTCACAGAACACAAGTTACATGGCAAATGTGAAGCCTCAGCATTTCTATTCTGCTTTAAGGTGGTTGTTGGGAATCTCTCAAAGAAAAGTAGATTTGGCCTTACAGTTTTCAGTCTTTTAGGGAAAATACTAAAGGAGGCACACTGATAGAAACAATATATATAGCTTGTCATGGGGGATGGACATAATGGCATGAGCAGCTTTACAGCTGGGGCAGTGCAGAATGACAGGGGCTCACCAGAGCTGGAGCATTCGGCTGATTGTGATGTGCCAGCAGTGGGCTGGCATTGGCTGGAGCTCCTGCACAGCTTGGAATATAGTTGTGACAGGACATTGTCCTCCAAGCCTCTGGGAGAGGAGCACTGGGAAGGAGCAGCCAGCCTGGTAGACCAGTGGTTCCAAGCCAGCAGCTTGTGAGAAACCAAAGAGCTGCTCAAAGCTACAAGAAAGTTAAAAAAATTGAAGCTGTCAGGACAAAATACTGTGTCACTGACAAAGCCTTAAATATTTAGTGGTTTTGCTGGTGGCTGATGATGCAGCAATCAAGAGCAAGCCATAAGTAACAAATGGCATTGAACATGGTGTGAGCTCAGGGCTCATTAGCATCACGTAGGAAATGTTAAGTTCTGTGCACAAGGCAAGGAACATAAAAAGCAAATATTGAGGTAACATACAGTGAGTGTCTCAAGCTGTTGTGCTTAGGCCAGGCACAATGGGCACCACGTGGAGGAGACATGAAACTCCTCCCAAAGAAATCGCCTGCTTTATAACAAAAAGAAAGCAAGGCTGCTCTGGAATAAGGTCACTTTCTCCTGAACCAGTAAGACTGGCTCTTACAGGCTTTATGTGTGCTTTTTTAACCATTAACATACTGAATTCAACTGAATTACTTCAGTTGAACATGGGAACAGATTTGCTTTCCTGTACATCAGTCTTCTTTGTATCAGTGCTTTTACTTGTGCAGCCGGTGTGGGAGCTGTTGCAGAGAGGCTGTTGGTTCAGGGATGCAGTTCAGTGGCTGGTTCCTGCAGAGAGGAGCAGCTCTGTAGCCCCCAGCCCCAGCTCTGGCACGAGAGAGCTGGCCCACAATAGAGGTTGCAGTGCAAGACAAACATTTTGTACTTTGTCTCAAGTGCTTAGTTAAAGGTCATCCATCCAAAACAAATTTGGATATTCTTTAACCTTTCATGGTATCTCTTGTCTCCCAATACACTCTGAAGTAATCTGTGATATTTCCAGATGTATCCATGAGGAATGCTGGTGTTCATGAACTGACAGGTGGTCTTTTTCTGCTGAACTCAGTAGTGAGCTATTCTCACTGCAGGTCGTTTTTTGTTGTTTTGGTTTGGGTTTTTCTGGGGAGGTGGGTTTGCTTGTTTGGTTTGATTTGGTTTGTTGTTGTTGTGGCCAGGTCATCATTGCCAAGATAAAATACTCTGGCTTTTATTTATAGAACAGAAATTTTTACGCTACTGACAATGGAGCGATCTGAACCCAGGGGTCTTGAAAGTAGGTCATTAAGTACTCAGTATAAGAAAAAGTGTGTTTTACAGTATTCGTGATTTTACTGGAGAGAGCTGTCTTCTTATCTAAATCTTGGCTTTAAAATCAAGAGACTTCTATAAGCAAAAAAATTTAATTGATTTAATCACAAATAAAATAATTATATCTGAGAATAACTTATTTTGTATCAGGAAGAACATTTTTCAATTTATTCTTCTTGAGCACTTGAGCATTAAAGTGTCTGAAAATAACATTTTTCGATCATTGGACAATGTAGATTTTAAAGTCAATAACAGAGCAAATTGCCTCAAATTGGAAAATACAGAAACAACCATGGCTTTGTTTTTTGTTTCATTAACCAAATCAGGGATTTGTGATAGAGCAGCAGCACTTCTGGGCTAACCTCTGGGAGTGGGAGTTGTCAGGAGTCAGTTTGGCCTGTGGGAATACTTGTAACTGTGCTTCCTCAGGGGCACAAAGGTGCTGTTACGGGGTTTATCCCATGACAGAGTTCCCCTGCTGCCTTCATTCCCTCGGGATAGCCCATCTGTCCTTGAAAAGCACCAGCTGATTTGCCATCTTCTGGGGCTCCACTCTGTGAACTTGTACTGTAACCTCTGTTCTCCCTCTCTCCATGTGTGTCTTGAGATGACTGGAACTGAGAGGTGATTTGGGCAATTTTTTGGACAGTACTTGGCTCATGCGGTGCCCAAGTGCCTGACCTGTGTTGTAGCAGTTGCCATGTGCTCTGCCCTGTCAAAAGGTGCTGTCCATGGAGTTCAGGTACACATGAACTGGGGCTGCTGGTTAACAATGGGTACGTTCAATGTCAGCAGCTTTTACATGCATGATATGTTACACTTCAGAGTAATTAACAAGATGCTATAAAACTCGCCTTCCTCTCGCCCTCTCCCTTTTGAAGCAAGGCTCCTGAAATACAACTCATATTTCATGGAGTTTGCTTTCTTTTCACTTTGCTTCTTTTTTCCAAAATATCACTGTAATAATTACTGTAACAGCATTTTCTGTGGAGTTAATGTTCTTCTGGCTTAATGGCCCCTGGTTATTCTCAGGCCATCAACTTTTTCCAGCTGGTCATCAATCCCAAAGAACTGCCTTGTGCTTCCATTATTATTGCTTAAGTAGATGACATTTCTGGTGCCACCGCTGCCTCCCAGTGAGATGATATTACAGCCAATGGCATTTCCCCCCCTTGCTCTCACTGTTGTCAAAGCATTATAAACAGCTGGTGTGAGAATGTTGTGGCTGTTCCCTGTGAATTCCTCTGATAGTTTTTAGGTGCGAGTTTTGTAGACTTCAGCTGAAGGAATCTGAGTGAGGCAACTGAAAATGACTTGCCTAGAGCAGCTACAAGGGCTCAGCCCCCATGAATCATTCAGGAAGTGGCTGGGAATACCTGACTGTTCCACTCTAAAGACTTTTTCCCAGAAGGAACATGTTTCAAACAAGATCTGGGACAGATGTTCTGGGGGGTGTTAATGTTCATTAGGTAGCCTCAGACCCCTCCCCAAGTTCCCACAGCTCTGCTCCCTTGTTTCCTAACAATTGATGGATTCTGTGGCAGGCTTTTTTAAAAGAAGAAGGAAGTTGGAGCTCAGTAGGCCAGAAACCAGCAGAGATTGTTTAAGTGAAAATGCCTTGCTATGTGGATATTCAAACCTGTGTGAGTTAACATTGGTGCTGACTACATTTCCTTTAACCTCATTAAGACCTTGTCTTGCTTTCCCAAGCATGGTGATGGAGCAGCTAGTTCACCTTAGAGCCTTTCACTAGGTAATTTATCAAAGTGGCAGACAAAAGCTTAAAGGAAAATGCATGTAAATACTACATTAGGAACCTTGGCTCACAAAGGCATGAACATTTTCACCCATACCATTAGCTCTGAATTATAGTCCACAGATGTGAAAGGGATGTTTATTGGGGGAGATGGAAATACAAGGCTTACTGGTAGAATCACTGTGCAGATTGTATACTTTTTCTTACATTTTCTTTAATTAAAAAGCATTAAGCATTCATGAGCTAGTCTCACAGAATAAAAGAATCTCAGACTGTAACTGTAACCACTTAATACCTTCAAAATTAAAAACGAGTTATTACAGTAAAACACACTCATCAAGTACTCAGGGCCAAAGCATTTTCAAACAGGGGCCTGAGATTGTGTCAAACCTACATCATGCATCCTTTTCAGCTTTACAGCTTTAAGCTGTGCCTCACTGCAGACTGATGTAGTCATTGGATTCCTGTATATGAGTAGATCAGATGATCGAGCAACTGCAGTTCAGTCTCTGTGCCAGGGGTTTATCGATGGTTTTGGGGTTTTTTTTGGTTAGGCCGGTTTGGGTTTTTTTTAGGGGGTGGGTGGGCACTCTTGTTTGTTTGCTTTGTTGATGTTGTTTGTTGTTTTTCAAAGACACTAAGATGCACACTAAGTGCAAAATATTATTTCCTGAAGGTCTACCAAGGTACACCCTCAAACAGTTTTTATATACCTCACAGTTTATTGTATTCTTGTTAGAAAGTAGCACTTTGGGAATACTGTTAACCCTTGCACCTTTTAGTTCTCATGCTGAGCAGTAGATAGTGACATACTCCTCTATAATTGATACCTGTGGTGGTGGCATATTTCAGTAACATGATTTATCATGCATTTTCATTTTCATGAAAGCTTGTTTTACTCTTCTGCTTCCATTAGGTCAGCACTCACTGAACAGGCACCTCCCATTCCATTTTACTGAGTAACTTTCAAACGTGACCTGACAAGGTAGCAAAAGTTCAGTGCACTAACTCACTGTCATGTAGAATACACACAGACATTACTGACCAGCTCTGACTGTTGAACCATAAAGGAGGTATGAGAGCACCGCAGTGGTTGTGGCACAACTTGCAAATAGCAGGGAAGCACTGGGCCAGGGTATCAATCTCTTCCTGTAGCAAAATGTCCTGACCCCAGGGTTGAACAGCTATTCACACATGAACTTAGAAAGACTTAGGATTTATTATTTCCAAAAAAAAAAAAGGAAGGGGAAGAAAAATAAATACTGTAATTACAGCTGTTAGAGCAAGTGGAGGAAGTACAATCCTAGGCAGTTGGGAAGAGTAGAGAGGCTGTTGTTATTTGTGTTTATGAAGCAGCAGTGGAAAGGAGGATTTACACAATGGGCTTAGCTCCACAGAGGAACTCTAAGGGCTGTACATCTACCCCATATTCCCCCCAAACACGTACAGTAACGGGTCCCCAGCTACTTGGGCAGACTGCAGGGAGAGATTTCTGCACCTTGCTCTGAGGATTTTGCTGTGAAATACACCATGAAGGTGTAAAGCAGAGCTGTGCAGGGACAGGGAGATGCCTGCAGCTGACTGTGTGTCTTTGCAGCCGCTGAGGATGCACTGCAGGAGCTGCGCGCTGGTCACCAGCTCGGGGCAGCTCCTGGGGAGCCGGCAGGGCCGCAGGATCGACGAGAGCGAGTGCGTGATCCGCATGAACGACGCGCCCACGCGCGGCTACGGCAACGACGTGGGCAACAAAACCAGCCTGCGGGTCATCGCGCACTCCAGCATCCAGAGGATCCTCCGCAACCGCAACGAACTCTTAAACATGAGCCACGGCGCCGTGTTCATCTTCTGGGGCCCCAGCAGCTACATGAGGAGAGACGGCAAAGGCCTGGTGTACAATAACCTGCAGCTGATGAACCAGATACTGCCTCAGTTAAAGGTGTACATGATTTCTCGCCACAAGATGCTTCAGTTTGATGATCTTTTTAAACGGGAGACTGGAAAAGACAGGTGAGAACTTACATGGGTACACCTAGGGGATGTCACAGAGTAGTAAAATAATGCAATTTATATATACCAATTTCAGATCTGCTCAGAGGGACAATCCTGCCCATTAAATCCTCTGCCTCGTGAGTTGAAATGTGGCATGACATGCCAAATAACATCACTGATAACATAAGTAAAAAATACACATCAAAGTGATTTGTATGGAGCGCTGCCTCATCAGCCTAGAATACCAGAGTCTGCATGTCATGTTTATGGAGTCAAGGAGGCAGGAACTGCTTAAATCTCACTTTGGGGTAATATACATTAAAGTTTTTTTCACTGACTCTGAGAAATTAGAATGGATAGGTTATGTTTTCTTATAGAGGAAATGCCACCATTCAGTGAATTATAATAGCTGTTTATTGAATTTAAGCATTTTTGGAACATTGCAGCTGTAAAGCTTCTTGTAAAACAAATAAACATTAGTCATACATTAGGTGCTTCAGAACAGTTCATCTTACATTTGCAACTGGAAAATGGAAAGTTATTATGATAGTTACATCTTTATGAGACTGTTTATGAGACTTGTAGGCTGATCTTCAAATCAAATTTGTAGTAAGTGACCCACTGCAGTACTTGAATATTTTCACATGTAATGTTTGAAAATGGGCATTCAAACTAAAGACTTCCCAGAACGATAGACATTTATTTTTAATGAAGTTCTGGTTTTTTACTTATTAAATATGCTGCTGTAAAAATGGCACAGGGTCCCCACTTAGATACAAATGAAGAGGTAGGTTTATTGTGCAGTAACTCACAGTCAGATGTTCTACCTTACAAATACAAAACACACACACCAAAGCTTTAACAGGGATCGATCCTTTTGTGTACTCGAGCACAGATCTCATTTTCTGGGCTACATGAGAAAGGCAGAACCAGTGTTAGAGGAAACTGTTGTACCCTCTTAGCTGAAGGCAATGTTTGCTTGGCATTTGCTGCCTTTGTCACACCCCACATGGTTTGCTTGCAGAGCTCTGTTCAGTTACAGCAGATCTGAGTTTGTGGCTGACTCTGGCTCAAACCAGAGCACAGAGTAACTTGGTCAGTTTTGTAACATAAAATTGTAACATTAAAGGTTCTTCTCTTCATCTTCCAACTGGTGTATTTGGGTCTCTGCCAGAACAAGAAGGAAGGATAAGAAGAGGCGATACCTTGCCAGTTGTGATGTGTTTGTCTTTTCCAGAGTAAAGCAGAATGAGAAGGTGAATTAAGCATTTGAGCCCTTCAAGCAATGTGCAGAGGGTTATCTGTGTGCTCAGTATTTACAAAGGCATGCAAGCCAACAAACTGCACTGTAACCTGGCCACCATGAGCCCCAGGGGGAGGCCCTGGACACAAGGAATGCACACTGCCAGCTCCTTTCCTGGACTGTGCTTTTGGTGATCCAGGGCAGGATCACGTGCTGTTCCCAGTTCTGAGGAACAGCTTCCCTTCGTGCTTCACTCTCAGAACTTCAGTTCTGCCATGTGGAGCCAGGGTCCCCTTCCTTCCCTGACATTGCCAGCATCCTGTTCTTTTTTGCCACATGCTGTGCAATTTCAGGCAAGCTGCTCTTTCTGTTTCTGCATCACCCATCCAGAGCCAGAGGCCTGTAGTGAGTGTGATGGAAGCATTTCTTTTTCTGCACAGGCACCAGGCTCACGTCCTGAAATATTCTCAAGGCATTTGAGCCATTAATGACATTGTAACAAGTTTAGAGTGAACTCAGTCATGGGCACCCGGAACTCTCAGAGTGAATCAAGGGCACTCAGATGCCAGCAAAAGTCAGCCTGAGGAACAGGCCCTGTTGGTTTTAATAAACTGCAGGCTCTGCTCTGAATGAACCACTCCTTTAGAGGGCACAGACAGCATACTTGAAGGGCTAAGAAGATTATAACAGGAGATGAAAATAAATGAATAAGCTGCACAGAAGAAAGGGAAAATGAAAAGAAACATGGATAGGAAATAATTTGTAAGGGAAAAACTTCAGGTACTTGTGGGGGCAGGAGCAGAACATTGTAAAGCCCAGAATGCTGCTGCTCCCCGGAGGGTTTCTGCTGAACTCTTGACATTAGTGCCTACAGAAAAATAAAGGACGGAGAGAGAAGCATGATTGCAAGGTTGCAAGAATCAGACTATTAATTTCCATCTTGAAAATGATGAGAAGAAAGGTAATTTGATGTATTGTGCTTTTTGGAAAAAAAATATTTTGAAATGAATAAAAACCTTCAGAAAACATTGCAAGTTAAATAGTATGGTGAAAGACAAAGGCTGCAGAGCAATACATTTGGCATTATAAAGTAACTGTACTTGAAAATAACTTTATAATTGAATAAGGGTACATTAAGAAAATACGATTCAGAACCAATATTATAGTAATTAGATAAAAGCAGCATAAATGAAATAACTGCAGGAAGAGTATTTCCAAAGAGATTATAAATGAGATTCTGGTGGAGCAGAAAGGCCTTTAATTGTAATTTAGTGTGCACTACAGAATTATCAGCACAGTGTGTTAGTTCATCATATAAAAGAATATCTGATAATTTCCCCTAATAAGCACATGACAGTTCTTCATATTCTCTCATTACTGCTGATTAGGTATAAAAATAGTATTCTTTTGTTGGACTCTTGCTCAGATCTTTTAGTAAATGCAAGACACTGTAACCCTGTTTTTGTGTTGCTGTCCTACAGACATGGTATTTTAAGAGGGCAGAGTTGTACTTTAATGAAATTTTGAATCTTTATTTGATTATTCAGCTTCTAAGCCAGTTTAGTTATATTCAGTTGTTTTCCTGTTTTTGGTAAGCACTAAATGACAGCCTAAGTGTGTGTAAGCAGAAAGGAAGCTAACCCAGAAAATAAAGCAGAGAGCCTAGCTGGGTGTCCTGCCCTGGGCAAAGCTTTGGTCGTGTGTGGCTGCAATTGCTCCCTTGGTTTTGGAATGTAAGTGTTGGGCACCTGGAACAGCAGACTTGTGCAAGCTCCAAAGCACTCTTAACCTGAACATGTTCCTGAATTATCTAGTGATTCAGAGCTCAGAAACTCTCAGGTGGCAGAGAAGCAAATTTTTTAGGCTTTTCCCTACTATTCTTTTGCCTAATAATTTTGAGCCAAAAATTCTCACTGTTGTATATTTTTGCTGTGCCTGAAGGCCTCCACTGAGCTTATGACCCAGCTCTGACATTGTGACAAACTGCACCACCCCCTCCAAGCTTCAGTGCACAGTCAGAAAATAAATAAGGCCCCATAATTGGAAATAATGAGATGCTTATAACATGTCATTCTCCAAATGCCAGCTTAGCTTGAAAGTCTGTGTGTCAGGAGCAGAAAAAATGTGTGTTTCAGGAGTTTAAGCATTACCAGGTGATCCAGTAAGGACAGGACAAATTACCTAGGCTCCTCAGCATCCTCCAGGCATAGTTAGTCAAAGAATTCCCTTATGTTTAGAAGTGTCTTTTTAAGCAGCTGGCACAGACACCACCACTTTTTTTTTTTTTTTTCCTTGTAGTAGTCTGATTCCCTGAGGAAATGGGAAACCTTGGTACAAGGCATTCCTCAATCTGACAGTGCTCAAAACATCTCCTCCTACTGCCCTGTAGGTGACCTACTTGGAACCAGCTTGTTTAGCATTAGCTTGGAAGCTGTGTGGTGGCTCCTGTCAGCTGAATTAGATGTTAGTGATTGCTGGCACTTGCTTGCAGTGGCTTTTGTGGCCTCAGGTCCCTGCTTCCAAGAGTGTTCCACATCCTATCACTGGGTAAACTGTAAAAGATGGCCTTGGAACTTGGGCCAGGACCTGGGATTCCCTGGTGACTTCTCTGAAGAGAACCTCATGTTTTCTGCTGTGCTTTTTTGGGGGGCTGTGACCAAGTTTCACTGGTATCTGGCAGATACAGGTGTGGGGGAATGGGATTAATGTAGGTCCTACATTAATACATTCAGGTAGAGTGCCCAGGCCTTCCCAAAGCCTGCACTTTCTCCCCTGGTGCCTCAGCTTTAGTAGGAGATGAAGGGAGAGCCTGTCACTGTGACAGGCTGTCAGCAGGGATCTGAGGACTCTTTGGGCTGCAGATAACACAAGCTTGAACTTCTTCCTGTGGGACTTTCCTAGCTGGGTGAGGAGCCATTAGGGAGAATTCCTGTCTTATTCTTTAATACCATTTGAAAGGAGACCTTTGAGTGAACCTTTGCAGATAAGAACCTGTGATACAGCAAAATTTAAACACAACTTTTAAATCTCTTACATCTGTGAGCAGTTACAGGGTGGTATCTCCTACTTTGCCTAATTAATACTGGGATCAGTTGAGCTTCTTCTAAAGCCATGTCCCAGCCTGCAGTGAAGGCAGGAGAGGTGCTGCCTTAGGGGCTCCCTGCCAGCGCTCTCATTCCCATTGTCAGGCTCCCCTCGGGCAGGGATGGCACCTGGGGTGGTTCCTAGGATGATTTCCCAGGCTGGGAGCTTCTAGAAACCAAGTCAGAAGGTCAGCTAAATATTAATGTTGCTTTGCTTAAAATTAATTACAGTGAGGAAAGTTCCTGCCCAGATTACTCCACTGACAGGAGGCACCAGAAAAATCATTAAAAGGTGGATGAGCAAAGGAGTCTTGGTTGCCCAGTTTTCAAAGCCTTTTACAAGAATGAAGAAAATGCCGAGAAATTGCTTCAGAATGAATGAATAAATAAATAAATCTCGAGAATTATTTGCCAGCTTAGAAACTTAATTATGTTTTTGCTTTCAGGAAGATATCCAACACTTGGCTTAGCACGGGCTGGTTCACAATGACTATCGCATTAGAGCTCTGTGACAGGATAAATGTTTATGGCATGGTGCCACCGGATTTCTGCAGGTAGGATTTATTTTAGAACCATTATTAGCCAACAAAGTAAATGTTACAGATAAACATCTGAATCTTTTAATCTTTTTCCTCTGCAACAAGTCTTCAGTCCTCTTAAAGCAATTAATGAGATGTCCATGATCTCATTCTGAAAACAACAAACAGCATTTAATTATGTTATATAAAATATTTTAAAAATTTGTTTGTACTGTGGGAGAATTAATCCATCTTGTTGCTTTCTTTTAGTCTCTGAATATTTATCAGCTAAAAGTAATGCAATAATTGGCATGAAATTAATCTGAAGAAAGTACGGGAAAACATTACTTTTAATTTGTTTTTCGAGTTCCCCCCAAATTAATAGAGGAACAGTGTTCTCTCAGTGACTAGTTTCTAAATTGAACTTTCTGTGCAACTCAAATTAACATTATTGTACCTCTGTCACACAAATGCCAATCCTGCAGCTTCCTAAATGGTGCCCAGGAAACCGTCCCATGAATTTGGCCCCAGAGAATCAGTCCTGTGATCCTGTTGTGGGCATGGCAGGGGCAGATCACAGGAGGCAGAGGCAGCACAATTGTGCCAGTGGGAGCTGCTGTACACACAACAGCCTGTGCCCTTTTCCAGCCCCCTTCTGCCTCAACCATGCTCAGCACCCAGACCCCAGCTCCTGGTTAAGCTTTTCCCACTGTGGATCAGTGACACAGGGAGAGGCTCCAGAACTTCCAGTGCTAGACCAAAATTGCATTAGCCACAAGGTACCAGTATGAGCACAGACAAATTTGTATTACAGCAGCAGTCTTGATGCTGACATAAGTCTCACCTGCCCACCCAGCACTAGCCCAGCCTGAGTGGTTCCTGCCCACAGCTGGTGCTGATACCATTTGTCCTGCTGGGTGAGCTGGGAAGAGCTGGAGCCAGTCTGGAACGAGGCCTCAGTGCAGCATTTCATCACCTGCTCACAAACCCTCTCACCAAGAAGTACTTGCTTAAATTTTCGATTGCAAATGTAGTGATCTGTCTCAAGTGTGGTTCATTGGGTAATTCCAGATGCCTTTCAGGGGCAGGGAGGGCAAGGCTGCAGTGCTGGGTCCGAGAATGGGACTGCTTTGACTTTCCTTTGAGCACTTACAATGATTTCTCAGGAATCTGCATTTGTCTTGGGCACGTTGTAGAAATCCCCAAAGAAATCACAGCATAAAATGTCAACACTAAACTCCACTTTGTGAGAATTTCTACAAATTATAACAAAATACTGATGATAAATGCTGTGATGTACTGCCAGACTTCAGCATGAATTCTCCAAGGAAAATTGCAAACGAGATCAGATATGCCAGACAACACAAATACCTTCCACAGCATCTCATTCCTCTGTCATCTCAGTTGGCCAACACATACTACTTCAGTTTCTGTAAGTGGCTGGTCTGTCTTACTCCAGAAGGGGCTGTATTCCCATGGCACATGGAAGTAATTCTTAAACTGATGATCTAAAAATACAGAAGACAGCATTTTACTGCAAAATAATGTGTAATCCTGACTTTTCAAAGTCAGAATAGTTTAGATACATATTAAAAAAAGCTAGCTAAACCCAAACAAACTGTTTTGAGAGAGACTAAAAATGTCACTGAGACCATATGAAAGGCTTTCATAGAATCAATACACTGAAATCACATGGACTTAAATTATAACACAAGAAAGGCTGTAGATCAGTCCTGCCAGTGAAAGATGTAATTGTTCTTACAGTCTGCATAAAAAAATCTTAACATAAAGGTACACACACCTGGTTGAAAAAGGGAAAAGGTCATTTCTTAATCAAAGTAATATGAAATGTCTTTACTTCAGCTTGATTCCTCAGAGGATGAAGGGGAAAACTGTAGTTGCCATGCCTGGAAGAAACTGTCCATGAAGATCTGTGAAAGGAGTTTCTTGCCATAAATATAGTTAACCTTCTTAGCTGGCTCTTCAGCCACTCATTAAAAAGTTAAAACAGCGCTTTCCTTGAAAGAAATCAGACAACAGAACAGAATAACAAAAAGAAATATTCTGTAATCGTAAGCCATATTTCCTGGGTTTCAGTCAGACAGAATAAGAATCTACTATTAAAATAAAAAAAAAATCAAAACAAAAAATCCTAACAAAACAACTGAAATGTGTGTGTGCTAGATGTGTGTGTGTGGGTATCCTTCTTGCTGTGCAAGTAAAGAATCATTAAGATTGAAAAAAAAACCACCAAGAAATCTTATTTCTGTTCATAATTAGTATCACCAAATTTATAACTTCAGCAGAGAGATACCCATTCATTTTTAAGTATTAATTTGTGGAATAAGTAATAAGTGTGGTGATCACTGTCATGGAACTAAATTAGTGTCACATTTGTAACGTGAAGGACACCTCAAAGGTAACAGGGATCTCATGCTGTTGATTCTGCTACAAATTATTAGCTTAAGATCATTAACTAAACTGCTTTGCACCCGTGCAGGAAAAAATAGTTTAGTGAAGGAGTCTGGAGCAGAGACTAAAAGATTTGTCACTATTACTTGCAACAAGGTGTTTTAGATTCATTTTTATTTACTTTCACTGGACACTGTTTCATAGCTGAACTGGACTTGGTGTCCTAATTATTATAAATTTCTAGTACTTTACAACAAAACTATAAGTAATTTCAAGCCCCTTTGCTTCCTACAGATTTATGCTGTAGTAAGGGTTAATGGCTTGATATTGCTCTCATGCTGCCTTGTGCCCTCTGTAATAAGATGAAAGCTTGTGCTTCCATGCACATTGCACACATTTCTGTGAAGTGTGCACACCTCTCACTCTTTTGTCCCAAGACAGACAAGCTGTACATCTTGCTGTATTTTTTGCAGTGCCCAGGGATCCAATCCAGGCCTTTCCAGATGGGAAGCACTTCCCTCTCAGAATTCCCCTTGGCAGCCCTGCATGCACAGCACTCACTCCTCAACTGGGCCATGCTGGATTCTCCTCTTGCCTCCCTTCAGCAGCAGCCTGACAGTGGTGCCAGATACCACAGCAGTTCCTGAAGGCACTGCAGGGCTGCTGCTTCCCTTTGTGGGTGCTCAGCAGCAGGGCTGGGAAGGACAAGACAAACCTTAGTGAGTTTGTAGGAATTCCAGCCCCTGTCTGTGGCATTATGGCGGCAGGGACAGAAAGGCTGGTTCCCTGCAGGTCTCAGGGTACTCCTGTACACAAGGAAAACTCAGGAGGTTAGTGAGATGAACCCTCTTTAACTCTTCTCCTCTTCATGGGCATTCTGGAACTCCCAGAAACTTAAAACTTAATTCTGAGTCTTATTTTGACTAATATGAATAATTTTCGTTCCAGTTATTGAACCAGATAATTTTCCTGTAAGAATCCTCATTTGACTGCCAGGTCATTTTTCATGATAATTCACCTGAAAATTGGTATTTGAAATACTTTAGTGTTTTCTTACCTCTCTCTCTCTCTCTCTCTCTCTCTCTCTCTCTCTCTCTCTCTCTCTCTCTCTCTCTCTCTCTCTCTCCACTTTCAGTTCCTTTAAATCAAATGCAAAGCAGCAGTTGTTGCTGGTTACATTTCCTGGAGCTTATGAGAAACTGTAAGCTGTATGTGAGCTAGTCCTGCTCTTTGGTCCATATGCCTCACCTCATTAGCTTAATAACAAAATGCATACATGGTTTGGAAGACAGGACTAATTATGGAGGTCAGGGAAAGGAGATCCTGGGAATAGCAGGCAAAAGATTATCTAGAAATCTTCATGGTCCTGACACAACACCTTGCCCATCACTCAACATATAAATGACACTTTACTCACACATCAAAATAGGAATTATTTTACAAAGTATGTCAGTACCTATAGTTTTAGAGGGTTGATTTAGTATGGCTCTTCATTTGTAAGGAAAGAGGCTGACCAGAATGTGGTATGGGATGGCCTGATTTCCCTGCCTTTTTTCTTTTGTGTTGTACCTCCAGCTTTTGCTGTAGGTGGATACCATCTGTGGGAAAATGTGCACTCAAGTGGCAAACAGCAGCTGACTGACAGGGGTACAGGCACTTCCACGGGTGCTGTGCTGGCAGGAAGCTCAGGATATCTTACAGAGAAACTTCCAGAGATTCCTCCCAGCTGTGCTATTAATATGCATGCAGAGTCTGACAAAATACTGATTAATGTCCAGTATCAGTCAGTGATAAAACAGCATCTGTTTTAATGTTAATAAATGAGGTGGCAAGCAATTTCCTTACAGAAATTACTCATGCATTTCATTTGCTGGTGACACAAGCTAATTGCAGAGTTAGAAGATAACACAGCACAGTTAATTTTGGTTATGGTGTACTCAAGCCAGAATTCAAATCCAAAGCTTACCAGCATGCAATCTGGGGGAATCCAGAACTCCCATAAAATGAGAAGGTCCTTCATTATGTAAATACCCTTCAGAGTTTCAAATCTAAAAGACAGCTTTTGGAATTTAGCCTTAAAACCTCAGTCAGCTGCAGAGTATTCCTAGAGAGGTCTGCAGCCAGCAGCCCCCATTCCTGTCCTGATCTCAGCCCCAGCTCAGCCAGCAGAGCTGCACACAAGGCCTGAGCCCACAGGCTGCCTGCACTGAGCTCCTGCCCCTCTCACCTGCCAAGCTCTGTGCACCAGGTGCCTCTGGGCTGGTTCTGGTGGCATGGTGCACAGGATGCAGTGACCTGGTACAGCCTGCCAGGAGCTAAGGACATCCACTTAGGACACACTGGTGTTAGTTCAGACCCTTCCATGGAATGTGGAATCCCTGGCTTCAAAACCACCTTGCCTGGAGGGACCTGCAGCCTGAGAGGGTCACTTTGCCCCTTAACTGGGGCTGCATTTTCCCAAGTCTGTTGGACAAATGATTTCAACTTTATTAATACTAACTTTAAAGCAGTAAATTTATACCAAGCTATACAGGTTGAGGACCCAAGAATAAAATCCAGCTTTAGTGCAAGAAGGAGGAGCAGTCTGAGTGAAAGGCAGAGGCCTATTTGTTCAGTAGTTCTTAACAAAAACACATCACATGAAAATGTATCCTATTAGATTTATAGCAACCATACAGATTATTCATTTAAGCGACAATAAGAGGTCCAACGTGTCAAAAAAGTGAAAAATTAATTGAAGACTGAGTTTTAATAGTTGTAGTTTAGAAATAATAAATTTCTATATGAAGGGCAGGTTTAGATTACAAATACATTTTTTGTAGGTGAGGTGATGAAGGATTTTGTTTCACTCTTATGTATTCCAGTGAGAATATATTTAATAAGTTTAGAATCCATCTTATTCTAGAAATGTAATTTTATTGTTGTTCTGGTCTTGTAAGATTGATCACCATGTTGCGTTACAAGGAAGGCAGACTGATCGAATTAAAACGTTAATGTAAGGCACAAATGGGAAGCAGCAGCAATATCATACATTACTCTGCATATACAATATGGATAATGGCAAAATAAGAAAAATTAGAAAATTGCGTAGGTGACAGAATTACACAGTAAAAATAATGACCAGCACAGACTACTGACAGATTGTGGATGCATTCAATTGAAAGTGACCTTAAATATTAGCTCTTCAAAATGAAAATAATCAACTGTATATTAGAGCTGACAGCCCTGAGTCTGTATCAGATTTCTTGCTCTGTCCTGGTGTCCTGTTCAGGCTGTAACACAGCACAGCTCCAAGGTTTCACTAAATGCTGATATTGGAAAATTTTCTGCTACAGCAAAATAGCTGGTAGCAATCAGGGAGAGAGGGATACAACTGGGTAATTCTGTCTGGGACAGCTTGCTCTCTTAGTATTTATGACACAGAGAGAGTGTGAGTTCCTGTCAGCCCAAAACGCCTGTGCCCAAAGTAATAAACCATCATGGGTACAGGTAGAGATGAAAATAAAAGAAGAATGAATTGCTCTGGCTTATTATAATACAGATGTGCCATTTACAGAATGTTCCATGGAAACACTGAGGTCAGAACTGCTAAAATGAACTTTATCCTAAGTATTTCATTGGTGTTTGGCATATGCAGTGTGTCAGCACGAGTCACTCATCTCCCGCTGGGAAATGTGAACGGGTTCACAAGGTCAGATGGATACTATGGATGAACTGGTTTAATTTTTAGCTTAGATACATGAAAGCTGCTGTTGTAAAATAAAGAACTAACTTGTGCATGAGATGTTTGATTAAAATGCCAGCACCAGCAGCCTGTAGCACTGACCTGGTGAGCAGACTCTCACTGAAGCTGTGCTCTCGGAACCTCGCGCAGCACGCTGGGAACGCTCAGCTGAGCTGACGTGACACAGATAACCACCTCCGTCCGTCATCTTTTCTTCCCCAGTTCAGGAAATACCTCTGCAGGACCTTTAACAAATCACAATCCAGATTTAAATCTCTTTTAAGCAGTTTACTTCAAATTTCATAGTAGTAACACCTCCCTGTAGCACTCTCCCTTGTTTCTGAGCTACTGCTGTCCTTCGTTTAGCTGGGAGGAAGAGGATTAAAGGAGAGCAAAAGAAAAAGCAAAGAAAACACCTTTGCCCCATTCTGATGTATTAGATATGCAAGAAAAAAACCAGCTACATGGTTTAACTGGGAGGAAAAGTGGATTTGAGCCCATCAGTTCATTAAAGATAGCATCTTTTCAATCAACAAGAAAGAATATCTTGGGCTTCCATCTATTTTCTTTTTTCCACAGGGATCCTAATCATCTTTCAGTACCTTATCACTACTACGAGCCTCTGGGGCCAGACGAGTGCACAATGTACATTTCCCACGAGCGGGGCCGCAAGGGCAGCCACCACCGCTTCCTCACCGAGAAGCGCGTCTTCGAGAACTGGGCTCGGACATTCGACATCCGCTTCTTCCAGCCCGACTGGGAGCCACAGCCGCTGCCTGGAGCCCAGCCCGAGGCCAGCCCGCTGGCCTGAGCATGGACACACGGACACATGGACACACAGACCCAGCCCGCTGGCCTGAGCACGGACACACGGACACATGGACACACAGACCCAGCCCGCTGGCCTGAGCACGGACACACGGACACATGGACATACAGACCCAGCCCGCTGGCCTGAGCACGGACACACGGACACATGGACACACAGACCCAGCCCGCTGGCCTGAGCACGGACACACGGACACATGGACATACAGACCCAGCCCGCTGGCCTGAGCACGGACACACGGACACATGGACACACAGACTCAGCCACGGCACCTCCCACAGGAGCCTCTGGGGCTTTGGGCCAGCACAGCAGCCTGAGGAGAAGGGTCCCAGGGTGTGCAGCTGGCACGGGCAGGAGCAGCAGGCAGGAATGGCATGGAGGAGCAGCACACACCCCCAGTACTTGCTGTTAAACTGTATGAACCCAGTCTGTCACCTTTTGGGGCCATCTGACATCCTGTGTGTGTTTGTGATTCATGAAACACAATCTGAGTGTCATTAAGGGACCTTTAACTCATTATGGCTTTTTTAAGTGCGATGCCACTGAATTTTCATAGTGAAAACTTTGCGTATTTATTTAATGGAGGTTTTTATGCAACCTAGGCCAGTATTTTTCTAATTCACAGTTATGTGGTTATCTTTCATAATCTTTTAAATCCAAAATTAATATTGCTGATGGTTTGAAAGGCCTAGCTTTTTATTTATAAAACTTGTTTGAAATATATAATTCTATATGGCATGTAATTAATATTTGATCAAGAAATGTTGGATTTCTTCTAAGAATTTTGGGCTCTGTTCCAGCCTAAAGCCTTTAACAGCAAGAGTGGTCCCATGCGCAGATCCAGCTCACTTTACATTCTAACATCTTATGTTAATAGGAAAATGATAGTGAAAATTCTGTTTGATATTAATGTGCATTTGCTGCTGTGCTATCGAGCTGCTGTTTTTTAAATAGGGGTGGGAGGAAGGAGGGCAAACAAAATTTATCCACAAAAAGCCAAACCCCCCACTGGCCATGGCAGCAGCTTCTCAGTGAAGACAAGCTAAGGCTGGAGGAGTTGTGTTCTGTTTTGCCTCTTGTACTCCTGCAAGAGGCTGCCAGCAACCCCCTGAGGCAACTGACTAGGAAGCAGGCCACAGCTGCTCAGCACAATGTGACCAAATTTCTGGAATGAAGAAGGTAAACTACCAGTACTACAACACCAGTCATGGTAGCCAGAGAGATCACAGCACTGCGCCTGCAAAAATCTCTGCTTTCCACTGTCCCAAGATCATCACTGATCTCGGAGATTCTGGATCACACTGAAGCTGGGATGTGAAAAGTGTTCCATGAGTACAAAATTGTCCTCCTGAGAGGAGCAAAGTTAAACTCTGCTTTTTTTTTCCCATGAAGTCCCTGTATGTGGTGAGTCCCTGCAAGACAAAGGGGAAGGACAATGCTCATGCTATGTATGGAACCTTACAGGGGGAATTACTGGGTTACATGTGGCATGTGAATAAAGAAGATTTCAGTTACAGTATTACTTTTCCTTTTGCCTCACAAATATCAAATCTCAATTTTTTTTAAGTAATCAGTAACTATTGCATGAAACATATCTCAGGTGATGAAAGGTGTCTCTCATTAGACAAGTGCAAAAGCTAGAACAAAGATACTACCTTTAAAAACCTAAATCCAAGAAGCTGAACCTCAGAGGTGAGACACAGAACTGGACCAAACACTCATTTAAAACCCCTTATAACCCATGGTCTTCCTCTTTCCAAAACTGGATAGCAGTAGCTGCAGCTGCCCCACAGATACCCTGATTGTCTGGGGATAAAGTGAACTGTCCTGGCAGGGGCCAACTGGTGTCACCTCTGTAACACTGCCTGAACCTGAAGTGCAAGTCTCCAAGAGCCACTGTTCTGCTGCAGCCCTGCCCACTATCAAAAAGTAAGAATCTATAATGTATTTTGCCTTAAAAGCTTTATTTTGGTGTTCTTCCTGGTACACACCACTCAGCTTACAAACTGAATGCCAAGTGCATGTTACCTTTCTCTTGACAGCTGGTGTTTACCTCTCCTTCTTTCACTGATGGTGTTTTATTTCTTCCACTTGATTTCACTGCATTCTATAAAAAACAGAATGGGTTTTGAACTAATGGCAGTTTGAACATTCCTTTCAACATGTGTACTGGGTGTGTATGCAGCATATATTGCCCCAATTGATGAAACCTGTCAAACTGATTTACAGATCGTTTCTAATGTGACTGCAAGACATGGTACAGATCACAGTAGGTCCTCTGATGCTTCTGTCCCTGTTTTATTACTGATACAATAATAAAAAGATCTTTTCATTTTAAACTAGAGCTCTTAGTTTTTCCATCACTCAAGGGCTGCAGGATGTGTATGTTATACGTTTAGCTATGTTACTGTTAAAATCGGATCATTTAAAGATAGAGTACACTGGTCTACTTCCAGTATTCTGTAGAAACACACAGACTTGCCAGACCCCAGTGTTCCACAGGCTTGTTCCCTGTCTGCAAGACTGCTCAGTGTCAAGTATATATGGGGAAGCACTAAGAATATGAAGAAACATGGAATGAAATGTAAGGGCACTAAATCTCCTAAGACAGCCAAGCTAAGCCTTGTAACTCATTCCTTGTTCAGTTTCTGTTAACAGCTCTGTGTTCTTGCTACCCTCATACACATATTTTAAACAAAACAAACCCAAACTCACTTTAGTCTCATCAGCCTCCTGTGAAGTTTCAGCAAGGTCCCCCATCTAATTACAAAAATTATGAAGGAGTATTTTCTAAGTCACACCTGTATATATTAAAAGGAATTTGATGAAGCCAAGGAGACAGCAAGTTTTAAATAGATCACACAGATTTAGATGGAACATAAATTGAGTCCAAAAAGCGCAAGTTATAAGAGTACAGATGAAATGTAAATAACTGTTAAAGCACTGCAATTTTAATTAACAAATGACTGATGTATTTCTCTACAAATGCACAAATTTTGAACTACAGAATCCTGCTGCATTTCAGCTGGATGTAAGGTTTTATGGCCTAGTTATAAACCAAACAGATTTATGACAGAAAATGCTGTCAGCCTAGGGATAAGTAGTACAAACTAGGCATTGCTGCCATTCTCTGCTTTATGCTGTCATCTCACACTCTTCACTATAATTTGATTGATTCATGATCTGCAGAGCATCATTTCACATATTAAAAGCTGTTGCAAAACAGTGTTTACAGATATCAGCAATTCCAAGATCTATGTTGGTTTAGTTCTGAACTCCTTACATACCTTTAGGCTTTTACACTTGCCTTTGTCAGGAGATATTTTTCATCTTGCAGAACTGTAGCTCTTACACCATGATACATGCAACTGGAATTGAGAATGATAAAGAAAACATCTCTGCAACTAAGAACAAAAATTACCACAGCTGCTTTGTGTTCTGTTGGCTCAATGCTGACAGCACCATGGTACAAAGAAAAACCATGATGCACATGGAGAAACCTTCTACCCAAAGTGCTACAGACCTCACAAAGTTAACACTTTATTCTTCATAAGGAAACGGAGGAAAGGAGAGGTTAAGAAATGAAGACCAAGTTACAGCCTTGGAACAAGATTTGGGAGAGACTGGGGGCTGCTGACTGGCAGCCCTGGCTCCATCCAGCAGAACACACAGTGGTACTGCCATGTCCATTCACACAGGCAGGAAACTGATAAAATCCTTCTGGAGCTGCTTCCCTGGGACTTCCTGCTTCCCTGCTGCATTTTCCAGGCAGATTTCTAAGGAAACTTAAGTGATTTTTACCCAAAATACCTCTAAGGTTGCAAGGAAACAGTAAGATAAAAATAGCTGGAAAAGCATTGGGGAATGGGGTGAGGGGAATCTAAACAGTAAGGAGTGAAATGTGCCTTGTGCCATCTAGCTTTACTCCCCTGGAATATGAAGATCAAACTCAGGCTGGAGCTGACAGAGGAATGTCCTGGCTCAATAGCAGTGGCTGTCATACACAGATTTCTTTGCAGTATTCTGTAAGCTGAATATAAGTGCCACAAAAACTCTTCCAAAAATGCTGGTAATAATTTCTGTAATGAAAGGTAATTATTTAGTCTGATGCAAGGAGACAAAATTTTTAATTCAAATTAAAACATAGCTTAGGGGTTAAAAAAAAAAAGCAGTTGAACAAAGAGTACTTGTAAGGCAGCAAGAGGTACAGCAAAACAAAAGGAAGTACAGAAACCTTACAGGTACCAATACCTCTGTCTTCCCTGGACTGCTAGTTCATACTGATCACTTTGAACTTCCAGCTGCCTGCTGCAAAGACACACCTTGCATATAACAAACATAGGATTTTGTAAGAAGAAAAAAAATTAGGGACAATCTTGTTTAATAAAAAACTAGGAAATATTCTTTTAAAAAACTCTAGGAAATAGGAAAGGGCAAATGTCTAAGGTGGTGTGAAATTTCTCTGTGCTGAAGCAGAACAATATAAAATTCAAAGACTCTTTTCTAAAATGAGTGTCAAATGGCACTGCTTATGCTAAATATCCTTAAAACCACTAGACTGTTAAATGTTTTTCACACTGAAAATTACACCAAAACATGAAATGTCGAATGATGCCCTTTGACCAGCATGTGGGTGGAGATTCAGCATCACAGCAGAAGCAAAGCTGGAGATTTCATCTGGGCCATCTGTGGAACAAACCCCAAGGTGAAGGCAGAGTGGAACCAGGCCCTGAACCAGCAGCCCCTGGGTGCTGAGCCCCTTCCAGGGGCCAGTGGAGAGCACAGGGCTGCACTGCACTGCAGGAGGAGGGGACACTCCCTTTGTCCTGCCTGGCTCTGAAAGCCAGGCCACACCAGAGAAGCTGCACAGAGATCACCAACACAGTGTCCCTGTCTGCTGTGAGTGCTTTGACCAGGAGTTGTCAGGAAAACACAACAGACAGGAAAACTACAGACAACCCCATCAATCCAGAAAAACAGATGGCAACCTGTGAGAACAAAATCAGGAGTCATAAAGAAGACAGATTGGCTAAGATGTAATGCAGCTTTTGTAAGCAAACCCCTGCCTTGCAAATCTGTTTGGTGTTCTCCAAGGTTCTCGGAAGCAAGGGAACAAAGAGATCCAAGTGATGCATCCACTTGGAATTCCACAACTAGGTTTGCAAAAGACTTCCAAAGAAGTTACAGTTAACACAGAAAAAAAAAAAAAAAAGAAAGAAAGATCCTCACTCTATGGAACCTTTCTGAACATAGGAAAATAAGGCTAAGAGGATACAGGGTCATCTT